CCTCCTTCCTCATCTGTCCTTCCTGAACGGCTTGTAGCCATTGATAGTCACACTCCAGTCATGAGAATAATCCCACCAGGTTTCGGTGATGACAACTATATCGTGGTTTTCCAGTAGCACAGTAGCTTCCAGTGCCTCCTGGCTTTTTTTTTCCCCAAACTGCATGCATTGCTGTAGAGGCACTTCAGCTGGGCAGCTGGTCTCCTCACTTCCTTAACAGATAACTCCTTAATGCCTCTTAGGTATATCACTTGATTTTCCCCATTGCTTTCTCCTATTGCCCCAGGAATCACTGCCTCATCATCATAGGATTTCACATATGCAGCAGTGTTGCTAGCACCTCTCAATGCAGCATATCCTTCAAGGCCCCTGCCAGCACCTTATGCCTCTAAAATGGCTATGCTGCCCCACAACTCATCATGGGAAAGCTCATTATCTACCCAAGATCTGCCCAGATTTTTTTATATTTTCCTTCCCAGTCCAGAATGGAGCCATATGCAATATGATGTCACATTTAATGTCATTATGTGCTGAAAAACAGCTAGGGAAACCAACCTTTAGGAAAGGCTGATGTTCAGCAGAGCCAGGTGAGCTGGGCTGGGGGCAGATCACAGGAGGCTGGCAGGCAGCTGAAGCCTTCAAAGAGATGCAGGATCTTCAGGGAAGGGGGAGTGGGAGATGAAGCAGAGGCAAACAAGATTATTAGCACTTGGCAAGGCCAGCAAAGAGAGTAGCAGGAGCTGTGCATGATATCCAGAGCATTGGTAACACTGAGCTGCAGAAGACACTGGCATGAGGCCTTTCACATCCTTTGCTTCATGCACATCTTGAGGAGGAACGACCATCTTGGTCAGGAAATTCAGCCATGGCTGCTATCCTCCTGCTCACCAGGAAGCAAAAGGCCGAGGAGTGATGCTGGTGGTCTTCACACCTGAGGCTCTGTGGTGTTGGCCTCACCCTGACAGTTAGTTGCACCACAGAGATACAGCTAACAAGATGTTAATGCTGTGGAACTCACAGTCTGCCCACCTCCCTCAGCATGTCCTTCATGGGCAGACAGGAATGCTGCTGCCTCTCTGCTGGGACAAAGCAAGGTGAGCAGCCTACCTACATCATGGCCCCTCGGCAGAGGCACAGGGTGGCAAAGAGACACACAGTCCCATAGCCAGCATGCTTCTGCCCAGAGAAAAGTAGTCCTTATTGTGCTGTTTGATTAGCATTGCTCACAGCTGCAGGATAAAACTTATTAAAACTGACAAGAGTCCCCAGGGCAGGGAACCGGAAAGGTCTCTCCCACATCACCAAGCATAGAGCCGGCTGGTGCTTGTCTTGCCAAGATGCTTAAATCATTACTCTGAAATTAATTTTTAATTTTGCTCATTTTCTTTTTTTGACTCTAGAGGTTTTCTGTTTCTTTGTTTCACATTTCTAGAGGCATTTTAGGGAAGAGCTGAGAACAGTGTCTAGCAAGATGGGACTTGCTGATGTGCACTCAGAATCATGAGGGATGCTCAGGAGAACTCTTTGCCTGGACCCAGGGGGAGAGCATCCCTACTGGAGAGAGGCATGGCTGATGGGCTGCGGTTCTGGCAGCTGAGACTGAAACCAAAGTGATGTTTGATGTAAGAAATGTCTTCTTTAACCCAGAGCAGAAGAGGCTAAGGGGAGGCTCCATGGAGACCTACAGCTTCTCACAAGGGGAGCAGAGGAGCAGCACTGAGATCTGCTCTCTGTGACAGCGACAAGGCCCGAGGGAAAAGCATGGAGCTGTGCCAGGGAAGGGGCAGCTGGGTGTTAAGGGACAGGGTCTGCACCAGAGGGTGGTGGGCATGGAACAGGCTGCCCAGGACAGTGGGTGCCATGGCCCCAAGCTGCTGGAGTTCAAGGAGTGAACTTGAACACTGTGCTCAGACATAGGGTTTGGATTTTGGGTGTTGCTTATGTGGGGCCAGGAGTTGGACTCAGTGATCCTTGTGCGTCCCTTCTAACACAGTTTGTTCTGTGATTTTATGATTCTAACTCCTATTCAGTGTCATAGGAGCTGGCTTTGAAGACATCGTCGTCATTAGGAAAAGTTCACTTCAGTTGTTCACTAGACGGCTAATTCAGATCTGGGATACTTGTATTGGTCTGAAGCAGAATTGGCATTCCTGCTCTCTCCCTGGGAGATGTGACACCACACAGGTCAGGAGTATTTGCAGGCTGCTAGAGCCTGTCATCGTATCATGAGCGGACCTGCACACAGGTTCTCTGACTGTCCACAGTTCCTGCTCCTAGTTTTCTGTGTATCACCAGTATTAGTAGCCTGCAGCCCACTGGTCCTTCCTCCAAATGCTGGCAGTGATTGACTGGGTTTTTCAAAAGCTGTCAGATAAGTAGCAGGTCTGAAGCAGAGCTTTGGTTTGCACTGAGCTTAAACAAAGCTCTATCTTATGTAAGGCTGCCCTGCCAGCATAGCTGCTGGCCTGAGTGGTTGTGCTGACCCCAGCTGTCAGCAGAGGACCAACTTGAGGAAAATAGGAGTGCAGCTGGCAACCTGGATTCCCTTACAGGCTGAAATACAGCAGTCTCCAGGTGTTCTTTGCCCAAGCAGGAGTTGCTTGTGCTTCGACCCATAGCAAGGTGCAGCTGAATAGCTGACCTGCCTGTCCCTTAAGGAGTCTAGGGAGCATTCATTGTGGGGAAGAGAGATTTTCTGCAAGGCTTTGCAGGGTTTTGTCCTAACTGTAGCCTGAACAATGGTTTATTTTCAAATATGACTGTATCTGAGACTGTTTAGATGACATGTCCCACAGCTGGAGGATAGTAGCTGAGCATGAGCACTGGCATAGCATGATGGCTGACACACAGCAGCCTGAGGAGAAGTCACAGACTGGGAGGCATCATGGAAGACAGGTTCTACCTGAACAAGGCATGGCAGTATGTGGGCTGCAGTGGCTTAATCACAGCCTTTTGTGGGTTGGGACTAATGTCTGCCAGGAGAAATGGTGGAGAAAGGGGTAAATGGTATTTTTCTGTCAATTTTTTCATGTGCCACTGCTCCAAGTTATGTCTAGATAGGCAGTGCTTGGATGTCTTCCTCTTGCCTTACTGGGCAAACTGCTGTTGTTCCCCATGGGTTTGGGTTTTGCCAGCTCCCTTCTGTCTCCAGAGGCTGTTAACTCTCCTTAAAACCATCACAGAGATGCTTTCTGGCTCTTCTGCTTGCTGGCTTGATCACAAATGGTTTCTAGCACAGGGGACCTTTAGTATCCTACCCCTGCTACCACGTGGAGCACAGTGAGGGTGGGCACAGACTGCACAGTACCTGGCTGTGCCACGTATCTGTTGTGCCATGCCAGCAGTGCAGGCTTCCCAGTTCTGTGGATTATGTGCAGCCTGTGGCAGGCTCCAAGCTCCCTCTCTACCTCCGTGGGAGAGGAGCTTCTGCATCTTCCAAGGGCTGATGCTGGAGTAGCAAGGAGTCCAACAGATCACAGCACTTTCACTTGCTTCTACTCCTTGGGCTTTCCTGCAAGGCTGCTTGTGTTCTTACTGCCATGGTAAGACTGAGGCATAGAACTCAAGCAGTATTTGAGGGAGGGAAAAAGTCACTGTTTTATTTTGCAGCTGAATTTTTTGTGATTGTGGGTGTATTTTGTGATGGGTTTTGCTTAAGGAAAAGGTTCAGATTCAAGTAAGATTGGACTGAACATAACAACTGAGAAATGCTAGGCCAGTGTCCAAAATGGACTCAGTCACCCTTTAAAAGATCTGTTTCCTGTTTTCCACTTTTCTGTCAACTCTGTAAAGAAACCAAAGCTGGTCTCTGGTGGTCTGTGTTGACAGCATCTTAATGAGAATTACTGGGGCAACAATCTTACTACAGGTTGATTCACTGGATTTATCCCCAGCATATCCTGAGTGCCTCCTATGCACTCCAGCACCTCTAAGCAGATGGAATAACACCACCACATGCCTGTTTAGCACAGCTGAGAAATGAATTTACCACATTCTCAGAATTTGTTTGCGGGAGGTGTTTACAACAGGCATTGATTTCTTTCCCAGTTTCACTAGTGCTTCACTGTCTGAGGCCTGGAGAAACACTTCCCTGCTTTGTTCTGTATTAGTAAAAGGCAAGCACTAATAATGACCTTGTGTGGATGCCTGGGAGGATGACTGCTTCACAGAGGGAAAGTGCTGAGAGGGCTACCAGTGAGAAAAGGCTTTATGGCAAATGTGGCAAACAGGTCCCACAAAAGCACCAAAACATCCAATTTGATATGTGTTTTATTGGATTACTGCAGTTACAATACAGGATGAGGAGCATTTCTCCACGCAAACTATACATGCTGTCCACTAGTGTCCCACCCCAAAACCCATCAAACAAGGGAAGGACAATGCTTTGGCTTTAGTATTAGGAAAGAGAGAAAGCACTGCTTGGATGGAGGAGCCAAGGTGTAGAAGGCATAGACAACTTGTAGTTATGCCCAAAGCTGTCAAACAAGCGTGGCTAACAGCACTGCTAAGCCAAGGCTTGGGAGAAAGAGCTGGGGCCCCTGGTGAGTCTCTCTGGATCCTGTACAGTGAGAGGGGAAAATGGGAGAAACATCAGGACTGTCCCAGGGTGGGTTTTTCTGAACAGGGAGAAGAGCATTAGACTGCTCTGGCATGAGACCAGCTTATGTGGCCTAGCAGGACTCATCTGGTGTTTTGACCTAGGAACTACTGGGAGATGGATTTGTGGAATATCACAGGGAAAGGAGCCCATGGAAGTACTGCTCCAGAACAGCTGTGGCAAACTGGGCCAGCCTGCATGCTGACATCTGGGTTGACAAGGGGACTGATGAGCTGGCCTGAGGTGCTAGTTATTTCTTACCAGATGGATGTTATCAAAACCATCTCCCTAGGGCTGTGCTGTGAGAGCAGGTATTCCAGCAGTCAGGATGAATCCTTATTCTGGTCGTACTTTGGATGAGGTTCAGTGCATTCCTGAACAACCAGAAATGCTGGCCCTTCCATCAGCAGCAGAGGATCTTGAGGAAGGCTCTGCGGAAGTCAGTGTTGAAGGTGGTGTAGATGATGGGGTTGAGGGCGCTGTTGACATAACCAAGCCAGGTGCTGGCACTGTATAGCCCTGGGGGCACATGGCAGGCCAGGCAGTGGGTGTTGAGGATGTGAATCAAGAAGAATGGCATCCAGCAGACTATGAATGTCCCTGAGTTTAAAGAAAGAAAACAAACTCTGACTTCAGAGAGAATCAACAATTTGGAAAGAGGGCTACACATGTGCCCTTATCCCTGACCCTTTCAGTATTTCCCTGCAGCCCGGTACACCTGTCTGCCTTCGGTAAATGCAGAAGGTGACATTAATTCCTCATAGAGAGGGACCTTGCAAGAGTTCAGGTTCCTCAGAGTCAGTTATGTGAATGAGTACAGTACTCAGATAAGTACAATACTTCAGATGTGGCCTGCTGACAGTGACCAAAACTTAGGAGGGAAGACTACTGCCTTAGCTGTTTTAAAGAGTTATGATGAGGGCTGCTTTATTTCCCTGTTAGTACTCAGTTAATGAGGGGAACTGGCTCTCACTCACCCAGAACAATAGCCAGCATCTGTGTAGCCTTCCTCTCCCGAAGCTGGATCAGCCGGGGCTGCTGGTGCGCTACCTTCAGAGAGCTGACAGTTTTCCCATTACTGAGCCTCTGTACCTCCAGCCCAGGGTTCTTGCTCTTTCTCCTCTCTTCCAGCCTGTTGTGTTGTGGAGTCCCAGGTGTCTTGCTGAGAGATCTATCTTGGCAGAAGCTGCGGTACTGCCGGAGGCTGAAGGCGGTCAGCAACTTTCTTTTGGTAGACATCTCGTGGTCTGAGCATTTGAGCTGGAAACAAGGGGAAAATGGGCCCTGGCATCTGTTTGGCAAAGTTTTCCTCTTGATGTGTTCCTGCAAAAGAGGATGCCACAGAGGAGCTTGGAACCATCTCATCTGTTCATTGGGTCAAAGGATGAGGAGAGGAGTTGTAGGAGTTATCCTTAGCCTGTATCATTTATTGGGTGCTAAGACTAACCTCTGGGGATGGCACAAAATCTAGTGATTGGAACTGGCCTTAACTTATCTGAAGGATGAACCATAGTGTGGCAGCTCTCTGCCTCTATCCCTCCAAGGAGAAGCATGAGAACAAGAAGAGTTGAACCACCTGCTCTGCTAACATCTCACTTCTTGTGCTGTATTGGCCCTGATACCTTAAATATCCTGACCCTTTCCTAATGTACTTCACTCTGAGAAAATGGTTAAAACAAATGGGCTTGCATGGCTTGCGTGACCAGGTGATCCCTTTCAAATTACTGTGTTGGTTCCCTTGAGCATTTTGAACTTTTAAGTGTGATGAATAAAGATTTTTTATTAATGATCTAGGTCATTAAAGTCTGTGAGGCCTCAAGAATGAAATTTCAAAGAGTAAAAATCAATAAATGAATAAATCAGTTTCGTTGGCAGAGAAAGGACAGCTCAGAAGGAACAGGGGGGTGGAGGCTGTGCTCTTTTCCAGTTGCCTGGATCCAGAGGCAGAGATATACTTAAGATATCTTGTTTCTAGAGTGCTAAAAAAGGACTTAACCAAAGATTCTACAATTCAAATACCACGGTGTATTAATGAAGGATGGGATGAAAAGATGTCATATCCCTTTGTGCTTTCGATTCTGTGCTTTGACCCTCTGAAGAGATGATAAATGCCCTGTCCTTTTTGACAGTTCCTACTGTGTTCATGTGGATCTTACTTTGTGTGTAAAACATGGTTTGGTGCTGGCGTTGTAGCTGCACTGCCGAGTGAGGGTTCTCTTCTTTTGCCTTTGTCTTAGCACGAGGTAAATCCGGACATAGAGCAGAAGGGTCACCATGAAGGGGAGGTAGAAGGATACCAAAGAGGAGTAGATTATGAAAACAGGATTGGATATTGAACAGACACTGGGATCCCCTGGGGAGGAGAAAAAAGAGAGAGGAATGGCTGAGCTGCTTCAGTTTATTGGAAGGAGGCTCTGGTGTACTGGCAAAGCAGGTAATATGCTGGCTGAGGGACAAGGGCAGTCTAAGGAGCACAAGCATCTCCAGTCTCCTTTATCACAAATTATACTGAGGCCTACCCAGTCACCGAAAGGGTGATTAAAACCAGCTCTCCCTCAGACCATCTAGCATCTGCTTGTTCTTCTGGCCAACAGCTGTGCCCGCTTCTCTCACTTCAATTTCCATTCTTCCTCAGATCCTTTCTCCTTTGTCCTTTCTGCCATTCCTGACATCTCCTGAGATGCTCTTTCCAGTTCCCTAAAATTTCCTATAGCTTCAAAAACCTGCAAGTTCCATGCTAAATAACCTGGCCATATAAAGGGCAGCTCCACTGCCAGCCCGACCTTGTGTGCTATTGTTCAGGATATCACTTACCTGTAGTATTGAAGCCAAAGAGGAGAGGGCATGACACTGCGAATGCCAGCATCCAGACTACCACGATCATGAGAGAGACCCTCCTGCAGGAGCTCTGCCCTGTGTTGTACTGGTACTGCACTGGTTTCACCACTGCAGTGTATCTGTGAACCAAACCAGCTCCAAAAAAAGGAGAGGTAAGAATGGCGGGAGGAAAGCATCAGTTTTAAAAGGAGGAAGGAAAGCAACATAGGGAATGTGATGGTAGAAGTGATGAAGAGATGGAAGAGGAAAGAAGAACAGATGATGGATCAGCAGTTTGCAGAAATGATAAGCAGGGTATTGTGGGGAGGAACAAAGGAAAACAGAGTTAGTTGGCAGCACTGGGGAGAAATACGCGCAGAACTGCTGGCATGAAGCTACAAGATTTGTGGTACCAGATGGACCCCTCAGCCCCCCAGGGTTACATGTGCACTGCCGGGAAGGAGCACTCTCTGGAGCAACTGTGGCCCATTCTGCTGTGCCTCAGCTGCCCTCCCATGTGTTGGCCACAGCCAGATGATTGCACACCAGTGTGTATTCAGAAACATTTGGGTACCAGGGTGCCCTAGAAAACAGCTCCACAAGCCTGGGATTTGGAAAGCTCAGGAGTCTTGGCTTGAGGAGCACCCAGTGACAGAACTGAACTGAAACAGGAAAAGATGCTCCTATGGAGAAACATTGGTCCATCCCATTGCTGAGAGCTGCCTCTTCAGTTTAGCTTTGAACCAGAAATTACAAAGGTACAGTATGTTATGCTTCTTCCTTTCCCTCCTGATCCCTGTAAAGAGGAAGTTTAGGGCCTAACTGGACCACATGTGCCAAGGTCTTGGCTCCCAGCTCTCACTGCTGCCTAGAAAAAGCTAAATTTTAAGACAGAAAAACAGGACAGGACTGAAGATTATGCAGCAATAATCTTCTCCCCTCCGTACGCATATGGCAGGACTTCCTTTAGTAAATCTTCCGGGGGGAATATCTCTACTCAGTGGGAACCAGATGATTGTTCTGGTTTCTACCTTCAGAAAGAATGAGGATGTGGCTATCAACACATAATGCTTTATTATTTATAATGCTTGTGTATCTCCACCTTTTCTTAAGTGTAGACATCTTCTAGCACATAGTGGGCTAAGCCATATTCACAGCTGTAGAGACAGTGACAGACTTGATGGAAAGCTTATGTTCCTGAGGATGCTGATGCTGCCTGTGCAGATCCCTCATCCACATCCTTTACATGGTTATCTGGGGCCTACACCTCTCCAGACTATTCTCCTGTATGTACCCGGTACTCACCTGTCAATGCTGATGGCACAGAGGTTTAAAATGCTGGCTGTGCACATCATGACATCCATGGTGACAAAGACATCGCAACACATGCGGCTGAAAGTCCAGACTCCTCCAGTCACCTGCATCAGGAATCACAAAGCTGTCAGCCCTGTTCTTCATCAAGTTCTAAAAAGTTACGAATAAGAGGGTGCTCTCCTCCAAGCACCTCAACATCAAGATGAATTTGTATTCACTGTGATGCTCAGGGTGAAACTGGTGCATCTATGTTATGTTCTGGATAACGTGATAAGTCACAGAAAATCCAGGAGCTGAATTTAACTGCTTTACTTACTCTTACAGAAGGTGGCAGTGTGCAGAAATAGATAGCAGCTGTCCATTTTCTTATGGCTTAGTATGATAAATTGAATTAACTATGGTATCACTGTATGCCTTCTTTGATTAAGAATTATCCAAGGAAATCTAAGGGCTGAAAGTGTTCCTCAACTTAGCTGTTGGAGTTCTGATGGAGTTTTTTTGTAGCCACTGAGCTTGAAAAATGCTGAAAATCCTATGCATTTATGCATGAAGCAGAGACCTGAGACCCGAGGCTTCTCTAGAACCTCATCTGGATTCTTATCTCAGTTATAGATTTGATTATTAGATCTGAATGAGAGTAAAAAACTATTCAGATAAAGGGTTTTTTTGGGTCACTACCTTGTCTAGTTCTTGTTCTGCTTGCTTTGAATTTTTAATCAGGAAAGCTTAGCTGCAGCCAATCTTTGTGATGGAGAAATAAATATTTGGCCCAGGTATTGTGATCTTCGCAATTGATGTTTTCATCTGGCAACAGCATGCTCCAAACACTGTGTGGCACTGCTGTGCATGGGTCAGCTCTCCTCGAGGCTGCAATGCTGGCCTGGCTCAAAGGGAGGTGGTCAAGAAGCACCTGCTCCTTGCAGGAGATGAACAAGGAAGCATCTTGCTCTAAAACAGATAAGCCTAATGAATGAATACAGCTAAGATCTGAAGTAGTGCATGTAGTTTTGGGGCCCAGAATAGGAAAGACACTGATGAACTGGACTAAGGCCAGCAGTGGGCCACTAAGATGGTCCTGAGGGGCTGAAGGACTTGTGAGAAGCTGAGGGAACAGGCCTTGATCAGCCTGGAGGAGAAGTGACTTTGTGGGGACCTAGCAACAGCCCCTCAGTATCTAATGCGAGGTATTAACAGAGTTGGAGCCAGATTACTGAAAAGCTAGGCTTTTCTCAGCAGTGTGTGGTAAGAAAAAAAAGAGACAACAGGCATTCACCGAACGAAGAGAGGTTCAAAGTGGTAATGAAGCAGTGGAGCTGGTTTCCTGGAGAGGTTGTGCAGGCTCCATCCTTTGAGGTTTTCAAGAACCAATTGGATAGAGCCCCAGGCAGCCTGTTCTGACCTCATGGTTGACCCTGCCTCAGGTTGGAGTGGGACCAGAGGTCCCCAGAATTGTCCTGTGATCTTGTGAATATGTGCCAGCAACCTACCCGTCAGGTCCTTGGGGCCATGCAGCATAGAAAAAAGCTGATGAGGCATGAAAGGTGTAACAGCTTCTTATAAATGACTTTTCTTAGAATGGGTGTGTGCTCCTCCTTCAGCTCCTGCTCCCCCATCTACATCACTGATCTTAGCTTAAGTCATTTATTGTATACTATCTCTCTTGGGAGATTTATATCAGATGAAATGGGGAGAGGGTGATGAGACGCTGGAACGGGTTGCTCAGAGAGGTTGTGGATGTCTGATCCCTGCAGGTGTTCAAGGCCAGGTTGGATGGGGCCCAGAGCAGCCTGATCTGGTTGGTGGCAGTCCTGCCTGTGGCAGGGAGTTGGATCTGGATGATCTTTAAGGTCCTTTTCCAACCTAAGCCATTCTATGATGTTTATTATGTCTTTGATGATGTCTAAGACAAGAGCTAGACACTTGAAAATTCTCATACCAGGACAGGTTGGAGATGGTGCCACATGGGATGCCTTTTTCTTGTAGGTCAATGGGTCAACACTGGCAAGCATTGGTACCTGAGAGGGGTGCAGCTCACTGCAGAAAGAAACAACACTAATGCACTCTGTATGGTTTTTTTTTTTCAAGGTTGTTCAAGAAATCATCCTGAGAAACTGTCATGTTTTTGGCTGTTCCTGTGCCACCACTCCTGCACACGAGCACAGAAACTTGCTGAGGTGAGCTTTGCCTTCAGGATGTTCTCTGCTGGGCCCAGCTGCTGTATGTCAGAAGTCAGGCACTGAACTGACTGCCAGAAAAACATTAGATCCCCTAGCACTGAATGGGTGCATGGGAGAGAAAAGGAAATCAGCCTACAAAACGCAGACAAGAACTGTGCTTTCATCTTCAGTTTTCTTATAAATTTTCTAGTGCTTTTGGGGCGCCTTTGTTTCCTTTTCAAAAAACAGCAAGCAAAAAAGACAAACAAAACCTACCTTAGAGATTTTCTGCACAATTGGAAAGCTACTAGATGTACGAACTGAAGGCTGCCCCTCAGAGACTTGATCAGATAGGTTCCTTTTTTATAGGAAATCCTACATCATTTGTGCATTAGCTGCAAATTTTGAGACCTGCTTGCCCACTTCGAAAGGGTGGTTCTGTAGTGTGAGGCAAAATACAGTGCAGTGTGAGTGTTTGTGTGTGTGTGTGTGTGTGTGTGTAAGAGAGAGAGAGAGATCTGTGAAGTCTGAAGAATATCTCACCAGGAATTGCTGGCAGGTGTTTGCATGAAGCCAGCAGCTGCTATACTAGCAGATGTGCAAGCACTTAATGGATTGGGTTTCTAAGGTTCTGAGCATATTTGAACACAAAGCCCAGAGAGGAGCTCTGGGAATGTGGACCATTAAAACTGAAGAAGCCGGTGGTGGGAATGGCTGTGAAGTGAACCCTCTCAGGATGATGTATTCAGATCACATCACTTGTATATTAAGCTGCTGCTTGTGTTCAGGGGATGCTTGGCAGATCAAAATGTTGGGCTTAAAACCCATTCTAGCATCCACCAGTCAGAACTGGAATGAGGGCCAGCCCCTCATTCCAGAAGTCACTGAAGAAGCTGATGTTTACATACATGAGAATACAGAATTTATTCCAGAATTGAACAAAGAAGTGCTTTTTTATTATAGGCCTTGTTCATGCTTTCAAATTTTATTCCTGCTCTTTATTTTCTTGTTCTACTCATCTTTGTTACAGAAGCAATAACTTGCCATGGTTTTCATATGCTGGCAGGGCACCTATTCTTTATCCCTCTGGAGTCTTTTATCCAGGAATCTCAAAGCACATTGCAGGTATTAATTGAATGTCACCTCACAACTGTGTGGATGAGGTGGATGGTTAAATAATATTCTCCTCTTACAGATGATGAGAGCAAATCTCATAGAGATGAGCCGATACAATCTCTCATTACCACTCAGTGTGTGTACAGCAGAACTGAGAACAGAGCCCAGGATGAAATCCTGGTTCTGTCAAAGACAGAACAGCTAATGCTCCCTATGGCATTCAGGTCAGGCTCTCACCTCGTCCTACATGGTGACCAGCCTGCTTTATCCACAAAACTGCAGCATTAGTATTTATAAATTTAGGAAGTCTTCCAATCTAAAAACCATTTTTGCGCATTCATAAACTTATGCAAATCCATCACTCTCCTGAATCCCTAAAAATAAACAAAGGAATCTGTAAATTGTATTAAAATAATGATGCATGGATAGGAATAAATTAAGCATGAACACAAAGTTGCGTCAGGTTTGTAAGCAGCTGTGCCTCTAAGCACGATCACTTAAAGAGTTTTGTATTTAGGAGTAAGTTCTTCTTGGGGATGCCATTAGCACCCTGCAGCTGAGAAATCCCACTTACGCTTTTGCATGGCCAGAGAAACTAAAAGCATGCGTTTAGACAGGCCAGCTGACAAGTGGGAAACTGCTGGGGGCAGAGGCTGCTCCACAGATGTGCTCCTGTGCACACACTCTTCACAGCAATAGCAACTGGTAAGTCTTTTCTAATGCAATGCATATGGTGATTTCTTTCGAGACTGGAACTATGTTTGAGGTAATGGAATATTCCTGTATGAGCAGTCTGAAATTAAATTTGATTTTAATAATACTTTTTAGGTGTAATCAAAATGCACAGTTATTTTTTTAAATTGGGTTGTCTTTCTTCTCCTTATTTCTTGCTTTTTATTGTTCTTTCCTTCTTTATTGCTTCCATCTCTTCAACACCCCTTCCTACCTTATGAGGTAACACCACAGAAGGGCACACATCCTGCAGAGCAGCTCCAGGACTGTTCCACACAGATTAGTCTAAATATCACTATTAACTCCATTAGGAACGTGATCACACAAGCAGGATTATGATGCTTTGTTCTTTCATTCCACAGTGATGCTATACATAAATAATTAACCATCAATACCCTTACTAATTAATGATGCATGTACACAGAACAGACCCTTAATTTCTCTAAATTGTGGTCTTGCTGATACTCTGCAACAGATACAGTTTGGGAGAGGTTTGGTTTAACATAAGGGAAATGCCTGCACTCAGAGCCAAACTTTAGAGATCTGCTGGCTATTCAAAGTGCCCTGTTGACAGACGAGGGCTGCAGACCACTGCCATTCCACTGCTGCTTGATCAGATATCCTTGCACATGCACAGCTGGTTTGGCATTTGCTGGAGTTGTCCTGTATTGTCCTACTTTCTCTTCATGCACTGTATAGCCCATATACACAAGCTAAAATCCCTCTCTGCTGCTGCTTTGCTTTGTGGGAAGGAGGTCAGCCAAAGGTGGGCAGCCGTCACCAGAATGCTTTACCCACCCTCTGGCCTGATCCCACCTTGCCCCTTAGAGAAGGAGCACAAGACTTTGTAGAGATCATAGCTCAGAGGCTTGTTCTGTCTCTGTTATCATGGGAACAGGGCTGACAGGGCACAGCTGAAAGCCTATGGCTCATAGGCATTCACTCTAATTTTTCTGGATCTACCAATTTACTTGAGTTAGCATGAAAATGCTAAAGAGAACAGATACAAATGCCAGCTGTAGTGTGTTTTCTGTATTTACTGTAGCAAAAATGTTTACTGCTGGAGTGGCTTCAGTAATTCAGAATTTTGCCACTGTGGGGGGGAATTTGGAGTTCATCATTACTACCCTATATCTGACAATGTTCTTCATATTTTCACTGTCATGCTACTACAGATTTACACCAGCCCAATGTGCAAAACTTGGGAAAGTGGGAATAAGGCCCTGAAGGCTTGATGAGTCCTTTGAAGCTATTGTGAAAACCCTCACATGACTTAAAGAGATTTTGGAGCATGATCCTTAGCTTCATCTCTTTGTCAGCCTGCTTAGGTAATATTACTTGGAGCTATCATCACAGACATTAAAGTTCTGAAGCTTCACAAAAAATGAGGATTTGACCATTCTTTTGTTTTCTTGCCAGCAGGCTGGGATTGATCTGGACTCTGAAATTAGTTCCTTTAAGAAATTTCCACCCCTTTGCCTCCCCCTGTCATTCCTAATCCATCATAGTGCCCACTGGCAACCCCCTGGCTGGTAGTAGCAGCTTCAAGGACACCCAAATTAAATGTTGTTAGCACACTGAGACCCAAAGCTGACATCACTGGAGGTAGCTCAGATGCCATTCGAACTAAAAGAGCTGTGCCAGAAAGAATTGGGCTCAGGATATGTGCTGGTGGTGTGTACTTATCCAGCTTGACTATGGTCTCCTAGGGCCACCCATGGGCCACCACACACACCGCAAGTGCTCCAGAGCTAGCTGGGAGACTGAAATGCTAATGGGCTTTATCTGTCCCAGAGCTTGCCTATCCTGAATGCACACAGTCATGCCAGTTAACTTGTACTCAGTTCAATTCTGCTGCACTTTTTCAAGACATACTCACCTCCAAGTACACCACCCATGGCATCACCAAAGTAGCCACCAGCAAGTCCGCCACTGCCAGGCTTACCACAAGGTAGTTTGTGGTGGTTTGCAATGTGCGCTCCCTCAGCACAGCTAAGCAGACCAGCACATTCCCAAAGATGATAGCCAAAATCAGGATGCAGTAACAGAGGGCATAGTAGGCGTGTGAGCGTGGCAGGTCAGGTTCTGTTGTGTTACCTGCTCCACAGGGAACAGAGCTGGTGGTGTTAAGATGGATGCTGGCTCTTGTGAAGAGTGCCATGGGGATGCTGCTGCACAGAGAAAAAGATGAGCAAAAACTGAGCCACACGATAATTCTGGAGAATGATACGTTTTGGTAGATGGTATTTATCAGTCATATTTCATTTGTGATGCTACTTAAAGTCAAATTTAGAGGTCTTTATTCTGCTCAAATAAAGGCAGAGCTTTATTTTACAGTCTAGTTTGGCCTGGTTTGCTTTTCATTGAATCTAAGCCAAAAGAAGAACGCAGTATTTCATTTCCTATCATAGAACCATAGAATTATAGACTATCCTGAGTTGGAAGGGCCCCAAAAGGATCATGGAGTGCAACCCCCTGCTCCATACAGCACCACCCCAAATCCAAGCCCTATGTCTGAGGGTGCTGTCCAAATGCTCCTTGAACTCTGTCAGTTTGGGGCCTTGCCCACTGCCCTGGGCAGGCTGTTCCATGCCCACCACCCTCCGGTGCAGGCCCTGTCCCCAATCCTCCTCTGACACAGCTCCATGTTGTTCCTGTCGCTGTCACACAGCTGAGCACACCACAGGACATCAGCTGCTCTCTATACACCTTGCCCTCCAAACCCTTCCCCATCTTCACAGCCCTCCTTTGGATGCTCTCTAATAGCTTATCTGTCTCATTCTGTGGCACCCACAGCTGCACCCAGTGCAGGAGGCGAGGCCGCTTTGCACAGCGCAGAGTGGGACAATCCCTCCCCCTGCCCAGCTGGCAGTGCTGGGCCTGCTGCAACCCAGGGTACAGCTGGCCCTTTGGGCTGCCAGGGCACTCCGCTGACTCACATTCAACTTTCAGCTTTTCATATTCAACTGTGTTCATCCAAACAGTTCATCTTACCAACCAATACAGCTGAGGAAAACGGCAGTAGTTTCAACTTGCACCAAAGTCACACCAAACTACCACTTAGGCCAGATGGGCATAAGCGCAGTCTAAAACAAAGCAGTCCATCGCACTTAGAAGACCTAACACATTCACCCAAATGAGAGCTTGGAGCTCCTATCTTTTCCCTGGGAAGCGCTCTCCTTCTTCCCTCATTACAAAACTCTTTAATATCTTCATGCAGTTGAGATCTCAGCAGCCTGGCAAAGATCGCACCTGCACTGCTCAAGAAGGCTCTTGAACCCTCACAGCCTCACAGTGAGCACCACAGGCTGAATTACTCCTCTCCTACAATGTGTTCTCATCCCAGGCCTTCTGTTCAAATGATGCTCAGCTTCAACCCTGCTCAGCATGCCAAATTTTTCAGTGCAGCCCCCATCTCATCCATATTGTGCTCTATGTATTCCATGCCTGGCTGGAAGATACACTTCATGTGCTGAAGAGCAAATCAACTTGTCATTTGGGATGGAATAATGGAATGATGCATGAAGCAAGGTCTGAATTTTTTTTTTTCTTACAATGGGCTTGTGATTGTGTTCAGGAACCTGCCCTTTTTTGATTCGGGAGGCTGATTTTCTCCTGATTTAGGATGCTAATTTTTTCAAGGTATATGAAGGCTGCTGTCCCAGGGTTGTCCTACGGCATTCAATCCATTTTATCTGATTTTTTAAATTATTTTATTTTTTTTACTAGTGCTCCCATTGCTAAACTCACTATCAGCATGAGAGGTTCGAAAGGCAAGGACAGAACATTGCAATGCCAGCACTATAAATAATATTCCTTGCTCCACCTTACCACTGAAGAGAATATCCACAACGTATGCACTTGTAGCTGTGTAATAGGTGATAATTGCTCCAATCCCTTTCATAGAAGCATCCTTCAAACTAAGCTACCCATGCCAGCCTGTCGTTGTGAGAGGATGAGGGCTGAAGGAGATGGCAGCTGATCTTCCCATTCCACCAACACAGACATCCTTCAGGACAGGGTGAACCCATCTCCTACCATGAGCGTTTCAGCTGCAAGTGCTTGTACTTGCCTCCCCTCTGTGTCTTTCTTCTGCCTGACTCAACCAAGAAGTTAAGACCCCCGCTGGATGTGAAGTATTCATTTCTAGCGGAGCCAGCATTGCTGCTGAGCCCAGGAAAGCGTTTCACAGAGCGGTCCCACTGAAGACACCCAAGTTGGGGCTCGCTGTACACCGACACGGCTCCACTGTCTAGGGCCACGAAAGGCGAGGTCCGTAGCACTGAAAGCAGCTGCCCAGCCCGTAAGCAAAACCACCCGAGAAAACGAACGAAAGGCACAAGGCTTTCCTGCTACGCGGTTTGATAAGGGGTGCCTCCCGTACCTCATCGCAACCCAAAGCGCTATCATATCCCCTTCTGCCAGGAGAGCCCCGCTGCCCCCATCCCCGCCGTTCTCCCTTCCTCCCACCTCTTATCGGGGTACGGGGGGTGAGGGCGACTAGGGGGGCCCGGGGAGGGGAAGGGGCCGGCGGCGAGTGAGACTTACCCCTGCCCACTGCGCCCCGCCGTCGCGGCCGAGCGGGGCTCGGGATCGGTGCCGCCTCCTCCCCGCCCCGGCCCGGCCCAGGGGGCGGGCGGGGACCCGCGGTGGCGGGGGGGCGGGAGAGGCAGCGGTCCGTGGGGGCCGAAACCCTTCTGGGGATTCGGTGAGTGGGAACGTGGGGTGTTGGGATGGCAGCTGGGGCGTGGAACTGAAAAATCGTTAGTTAAAAGATTAAAGGAGAGAGGGATTTTACAAAGGAGACAGTTACAGAAATCTGCCTTAAACCTGGGATGGAAGATGGCAAGTGGAGGAAAAGCTGAACGGCAGCAGCGTGGTGTTGGAGAAGTATCCTGAGCGCCTCGGAGATGCTTCCCGAGGTGTGAGATGGGGTCTGTATGGCTCTGCAGGGCAGTGGGTTGGCCCTGAAGCTCCAAGTGGACCCAGTGGGAGTGGGCAGTACCCATGACCTGTTGCAGCACAGCACGACAAGGCTCACTGTCATGGGGAACAGGCTTCATGCATCTGTGGCCATGGGCTGACTTGTTGTGGGTAAGGAGAGGAAGCACTGCAGAAAGCAGCATTTTAAAGAAATGAGTAACCTTGATGAATATGCCTTGTGACCATTGCTGCCTGGATAGTAGATATCCGGGATAATCTCTTTGTAGGTAAGGGCGATAGGAAAGACAAGATATGGAGAGCACACATGGCTACTAGAAGTGGGTATTTTGAGAATAACAGAATCAGAGAATCATAGTTGGAAATGACTATGAAGATCATCTAGTCCAACCATGTCTCTTCATCCTGGTTGGGCAGTCTAAGACTTCCACCAGGATGTCAGCCTTGTTGGCCTTTCCCCTGTTCCTTACCCATAAGAACTTGATATCATCATTCCTAGTATTGAGTTCTACAACCTCAAAACACTCCCTAATATAGAGAGAGCCACCCCACTGCCTCTCCTTCCTTGCCTGTCCTTCCTAAAGAGCTTATCCATTGCAGCACTCCAGTGATGACTAAGTCATAGATTTGCTCCCACAGAATGTCTTCTAGCTCCTCCAGTTTGTTGCCCCTTCTGTGTGCATTGGTGGAGATGTATTTCAGGTGGGCTATTTGTCTCACCCCTAACCCTGGCATGCTGCTCCTAAGCTCATCTTTAGCAAGTTTCATTTTGTCCCCTTCTCCATTCAAACCTAGTTTTAATCGCTCTCAATAAGCCCCACAGACTCCTGGGTGAGAATTCTTTTCCCCATTCAGACATTTTTCACCAGCAAGCCTGGTACTGAATAAACTGCCCCATGATTTAATAAACAAACAAACAAATAAATAAATAAATAAATATTCCTTTGATGGCACCAGCCTCTTAGCCATGTGTTTGTGAGATGGGCTTTCCTGTTCCTCCTGAATCCTCTCAGTAATTTTCCCTATTACTGAAGGGATCAAGAAAAACATCACCTGAGCTCCCCCTCCTTCAACTAACTGCTCCAATGCCCAAACACCAGCTTTAGCCTGTCTGGGAGAACTGGAAGTGTGAAATGCCCCACAGGTCTCGGTGCTGCCGTCACCAAACCTGCCCCACAGGTCTCAGTGTTGCCACGATCAACACCAAACCTGTAAGTTCACACCCAGCCATGCCCCAGGGCAAGCTGACAAATAGTGCTGGGAGACCCCAACAAGCCTGCTCAGTCTCTACAGGTGGCGTGTTCACAGGTATCCTTGGTGAAGGGTTTCACTGTCAGACTGTAGAATGGACAAGCCATGAAGGAGACTACAGCCTGATTGAGGGCTCTGGAACGGTGTGGCATGGACTGCGCTGACCACTCTTTTATGTGTCCAATTAACTTCAGCTGTCATCCATCCTCTACTGCCCACTGTCATGGAGATGTGTAAGCAAATTGTGCATGGAGTAGTTAAGGGGAAGTCCTCTTGTCCCCAGAGCAGACTCATTGTAGCTATGAGCTTGGTACAGTCCCAGGCTGTGCTTAAAACTGGAGTGAGAAGGGCATGCCATGATGCTTCCTCTGTCGAGTGAGGGCTGTGGGAGTGGCAGGCTGGGTGCAAATATCTGGAGAATGCAGCTCTGTGCAATGGGGAAGAAGCTGCCAAGTGCTGGATGCAACATTGCCTAACTTTAGCATTTTTAAATGCAGTTTATTTGTATGTGGTTCCTTAAGGAGTGGAGCCAGTAAGGTGTTTGTGTCAGCTCTAGGACACTGGTCTCCCAAGGTGCTACTGCAATTTGCTTAATTCGTGTTGTCTGTTCAACGTATAATGGATAACCAAGAATCAATAAAGAGATGTGTCCTCACACCTGTTGCCCTCCTCTGAGGCAGGGATGTTTCTTGTTTTTCTACAGCAGAAACACTGCTCTTCACCCATAGGCATTTCTGCTCTCACCTAGATCCCCACCTTGCAGAGTCTCAGAATCGAACCCTTACCCAGCACGTTTGCTCCTATGGTAGTAGGTCTTTCCCAGCAGCCTCCTCACCTCTTTGTCCCAGCTGTGCCTCACCACAGCCTTGTAACCACCTCTGTTCCTTCCTGTCTCTGTTCTTAATATTATACTGTCTTGAGAAAAATATAAAACCGACCTTGTTGCTGCTCTATGTAAGCTCTTTTGCA